GGAGGTTAACTCCTTCCTCATAATTAGAAATGGCTAAATCAGTCTACTTCTGGTCTCTGTCAGTTTTATATCTGCAGTCCAGTTTACACATCAGTGGTGGAATTTTTCCCTTATAAAAATAAAAAATACCCAGAGATGGGAGAAGTTGCTTTCTTAGATAGTAAATCCCACAATACTCTAACCAGCATGAGTACTAGCCAAAGTAACGTTTCCCATCTTTGAAAAATCCACATCCGTTTTCACACACAATTTCTTCTTCCACTCCACCAAAGATATCACTTTCTCCTGAAGACCTCAAACTACACTTATCAATCAGTTTGCAATAGTTTTATAAGTTATTTTTATGCAATCTAAGTAGTCTAAAGCAGGACTGGGAAACCTGTGGCCCAAGATCTAATATCTCCTTGTCTTCTGCCGGTTTCATACAACGTTTGGTCCTCTGTTGGCTGAATTGCTCAATGAATTAGGTATCTGACTTTGTTTAAGAGTTCAATTCCTCACTATGCCTCCCAAGACAAATGGCAGCCTATGTGGCCTTGGCCAAACTGAACATTCCTGGCAGCAGCCCCAGAAGAAGGGAATAGTAAACCACTTCTGAGTACTCTATGCCTAGGGTGAGTACTATCACCATGAGCATAAATTGACTTGACAGTAAGTAATTATTGGCCCTCTGCAAAGAATGTGTTCATGCTAGCAAAATACATTAATCTTGCCAAATTCACTCCTCATGCAGAAAGGTGGAACATCTATACATATGAATAGACTCCCCAGAACTGGTCAATGGACTTCCAATGAGTAATTACTCAGCTCCGTGTCTGTAAGGATTGTTTCTGCTCATCAACGTATATGCAGATCCACAAGTAAATTTCAATGGTCTGTTCTGCTTTCTTATCTTTGATTAGCTAATTTCCATGAAAAATCCATCTCCAGTCCAGAAAGACATGTAGCTCAATCTGAACTGTTATTCCTTCAGCATTCTTAGTTGGTTACCTCAGCTGGAGTTCTGGGGTTTTGTTTTGCTTTTTGTTTTTTGTTTTTGTTTGTTTGTTTATTTTTTGTTTTTTGGGTTTTTTGGCCCATACATGCTTTGCTCCACCAGTGCATTGCACTGTAGGTTCTGCAGTCTTTATGTGCATAATTTTGTTTGTTTTTTGTTTTTTGGTTTTTTTGTCCATACATGCTTTGCTCCACGAGTGCATTGCACTGTAGGTTCTACAGTCTTTAAGTGCATAGAGAGTCATTTTCACGCGTAGGTACTCACACAAATGTACTTAAATCACAGGCATGAATATAATTTGGGGCAATAATTAAAACGCCATGGTACTGCTAACAGTTTGACACAAATGTGAGAATGCAATAAAGTTATTCATATAAATATTGTGATTCAAGAAATTGCTGCCAAAATTTGCACATAAGAAACTGAACATGATGGAATGAACTCATGGACAGAACCTCCTTTCCCACCCACCACCCACCCCCAGTTTTAACACAAAAATATTGTTTAGACATGGCCACACTCCAAAAGCAGAAAAGACGTTACCATTGGAATGTCATAATTTTGACTTTCTACTTTTGCTCTGCACTCATCACTGGTTTTATTATACACAAAACAATACGCTTGAGTGTAAATCTGCCAGAAAATTCTACTTTCTAATGCCAGTAGAATTTGGCCTGCTATTTTACAGAAGCACTTTCTTGTACACCTAGCCTGCATGTGTAAGGCACAAATATTTCAGCTATGAAATGAGATGGGACTCTCAGTTTCCAGAGTCTAATAACAAATTGCTACAACAGATTACTCAAGCTAATGCCTGTGAGCCCTTGGCTGAAGTTAAGTACTGGATATAATAATTCCATTATTCTGTCTCAAATGGACCAGTTCAATTGTTAGGCAGGGTAGCAAATCTGAGGTGCTATGAAATGGCAGCAAATTGTTATTTATTTAATGTTTGTTATTGTTAATGGTATTTTGAGTTCTGGGGAAAAGAAAATATGGTTCTCGGATTCTTTCCCTCATAGGTCAAAATCATTTGCCTGCTTTGGCCAGAATTCTATGTTAATCCCAACTAAAGTAGACACAATGGCTGAAATCCTGTTGTGCAGCTCTGTATGCACATTGGAGATGATGTCATTGTCAAAAGGGACAAGCAGGTTTGGCTATAAACCAGACTGTCAGAAGAATGAAATTAAAATGATGGCATTAAACTGATCCACATGCACAATGGGATGACATCATCATCATTAGTGGCAAATCACCACTGATTAAAGGTGAATTGCTACTGATTAAAGGTAATTTAGGAGTGCACATGACTTATAGACAAACACAGTTTGCTGCTGCTGCAGGTGTCCTCTCCATTGCACACGTGGAACAATATAATGAAAATTCAGCCATTGAATTGAAATGCTTTGTAGATGAATTGACTTGGTATTCAACAGTACACCCAATAGGTCTCTCTAGGTGGGAGTAGCAACAGGCTTTAAGCTTATGTATCTTAATCATGAGATCATCTGATCCCTTACACTCCACAAGCTTAACACTGGCTATATTCCAATAATCTTGCCAATGACTAACTCCTAGCAAGCAAGCATGGTTCTAATAGTGCCAAATGTCTAGGGATAAAAGCTTGAACATTTGACACAGGATTATAAACACTCACAAAATAATGGTATCTGTTCTTGAAATGCCTTGCATATATTACTGCAGCTATTGATATACCTGCTCAGCCATTGGGATGCTTTTCTTTTTCTTGCCATTTCCATTTTTCCTGTATATGTGTCCCAGGGTTTATTTTTGTAATGGAGAAGGAACAAGGGCTATTGATCAAAAAAAAAAAAACATTCTTTCTGACCTACTTTTATCTACCCTTGATATTCTTTAAATATCCAAACTGAATAAAATAATGAGGAACTAGAGAAAAATCTGTTGAACATCTGGGCCAGAGAGTTCATGTGGGATAGTATTTTAGCGTCCATTAGCAGGGTGAAGCACTGCAGGTGTGGGACCATGTGGTCTTTCCCTCTCATATGTCAACCAGATTTCAATATTACTGCTGTGGTGTGAGATCCAGCCAGAGTGAAACCTCAGCCTGGCTTTCCTTACTGCAATTGATATCTAACATCAGCTGCCTTTTGAGGAACAAAGCCAGGAAAAGAAATTAAGCAAACCCATCCTCTATACACAAGGTCAGTTGGGTATTGTCCTTTCTGGTCCATGTTGCCTCTCCTTTGTACAGAAAGTCCAATTATTCCCCATGTGGGGACAGGGTTTATCCTGGATACCATATTTCAAGATATTACTCTTCCTTGATCCCTTCTATACCACTTTTCCTTCTTGTTATGGATCTCATTATATCTATTTTTATTAACTCTTTAAGGGCTATTATAATTTTCAATTAAGGGACTGAATCAAAATTATATTCGTATCCCACTCAGAGCCTTCAAGATATGGTGGGACTGAAACATATATACAGAAACTGTGCTTCAGATATACCTTTTAGAATGATCTTAAGACTACATCTAGGTGTCTTTGTGTGCCCACCAAAGACCCATCCAAGCAGTGCTCAGTTGCTCCTGAACACAGTTGGAGCAGAGCACTTAACCCCATCTCCCTCTTACCTCACATTCTTCACTTTCACAGTGCTAGTTCTGAAAAGGACAAGTTCCTGCCTGTGTGTTGGATCAACATGTGAACAAGAACCCTAGAAAATCTGGGTTCCTGATCAGGTGTAGAGCCTAAAGGTGAACAGAACTATTCTTCTCTTTGGATGTGGCACTGTAACTATGAAGAAAGCAATGATGGTGGTGAGGTTAGGTTCTTTAGTCATATTCACAGGTTGAAGAAAAGGTGAACAGTTTATGAATCAGACTGTACACAAAGCAGTATCATGACTGTGTAATATCATACTCCTTGGCTGTAATCCCATTTTACATTCCTAGAAATAAGTCTCCTTAAACTTAGTGGGACTTAACTTCTATGTACTTATTCCTAAGTCTAAAGTATAAATTAACATCTCGAGACATATTATGGAACTACATATAGGATACCAGCGTGGTTTAGTTGTTAGAATGTTAACCTAGGAATGCAGAGGTTCTGGTTCAAATCCCCATTTGACCATGGACCAGCTACTAAATCTGAGCTTATGGGGAGGAGGTCCATGTGTCATGACTTGAGTTTCCTGAGGAAAGGCAGAATATAAATGTAAGAAAGTTAATGTGGCATGAGCTTTAATGAGCAATAGTCAACTTTATTAGGAACAGAACAGGCCATTGCATGATAACATAGGTTGATCCATTACACACTTAATCCACCCAAGTACAAAACCAAAGCTAAAAGAATAAGACATAATAGCCAGTATCTTAGTAAGGATACTAACATTGCAGAAGTAGTTGGTATATCTAGCAAGGTATCTGTTGTGCAGCTGGTTACACATTCAGATGCACAACCAATGGCATAAGAATGAAGATGCCTCACCAGTCAATGCAGCCACTTCAGCAATATTAGTTGCATACATGGAATTCCTTCATGGGACACTAGCCAATTCAATAAAATTAAATATAACAGCAGCAACAAAACAGCATACAAATATGTAGAAATGTTCCTAAAAATCTATAGTCAAAAATGCCTGGGAAAAAGGGATGATCTTTGCCCAAAATAACTGTATAGTTTTCTGAATCCAATCTCAGTTTTGGTCAGCAGCACGATTCTCAGGTATGCACTATCATGCAGGAGATTACCTCCATTTAGGTGATCCATACACACTTCCAAATAGGCCTACGGTAGTCACATGGCAGCTTATGCCACACCCAGATGTCTACATCATAGGAGGAGGAGGACTGAAAAGCGGTTACAAATCCACACAAAGCTATATAGCACTTTCAAAAGCCATTGGCCTAGGTAACTTCAAAAGAAACATGAAATAACATAGCTTAGTAGTATGGAACCTGAAATTTCTACTTTCCAAATTATAAATGAGTGAAGAATTAAATGGATGCCTACTCACCATATATTCCATGTTGGAGGCAGGTGGGAAGACTTTGCCTCGAACTTGATTGTGATAATCCAGAATAGCAATCATGTCATTCTGTGAAATGTATCGTTTCCTCCTGGCTTTGGGGAGGTTGGGAGGATCCAGATGAGTGTTCAAAGTTGCCTCACCATGTGTGTCATTATTGGCTGACAGGAACAGGTCAGTGGAATTGAGTAACCCTACTGCACTTGTGTCACAGAAAATGGACAGTAAAAGGGCACCACTGAGTGCAGAAATTGCTGTCATTGTGGGGCCAGGGAGAGGAAGAATTCTAGTTTAAGCCAGGAAAGGTAAAGAAGAAGATCTGCAAAGGGGGAAAACAGAGTTAAAGAAATGTAACTGGGTTCACACTGAATCTTTTTCTCTCTCAGATAAATTCTCTCTTCCCCAACATTCCCCAAGTTGATTTAATGCCTGCAGCAAACTTAAAATATTATGTCTCTAGAGAGTCAAATAAAACGTCACTGTGTCTCAGATCACCTAGCAACAGCACACACACACATTACCCTAAGCAATAAAACCAAATATATTTACTCTGGCCCTCTTACTACAACTCCAGAGGCTGCAAAGAGCATCTAACACTCTGAAGATGAAAAAGATTAGCATCCATGCTGATCTATAATGAAAAGGGTTTGCACTCACTCTTCCCTTATAAATTAAAAAGCTAAGTAATAGACAAGAGAGATGGGAATACATGGAAGCAGAGGACCTTATTTGCACAGCTTAAATGGAGTCCAGCAAAGTAGGATGTGTGTTAATCAAAATGCATGCAAAGCAAACTGTCTGAGCTCAATGGCTTACCTCTTTGCAGCACCAAAAAGCCCCAGCGTATTGTTCTTCCAAGTTAAACAGCTCTTTGCTCTGCTCTAGTGTGAACCCTTGGAAAGAAGAGTGTGTGTCTTATTACAAACCCTCCAAAAGAGAGGGAGGGAGAGATTGAAAAAAAAAACCCTCTGCAAACTTTCTAGCTGCTGGCTACAGGAGCTGTAAGAGCTTTTATATGTTACAGTAAGATACAAAAGAGTAACTCTTTCCAGGAGCTGTACTCTTTCTATTACAGCTAAAAAGAAGGGGTGGAGTTTTGACCAGAAAACACAGTGATTGGGTGCCATCTGGCTTTTATTTTTTTATTTTTTATTTTTTTTTAACTGTAAGATTAGGGTATCATCTCACAGCCCTTTCTCCCTGACTGGGACAAAACAGAACCTAAACCTGTCCTTTCCCCACCACTACCTTCAATCCCACCCACCCAATTTTGCTTTTTTCAGTAGTCATTCAGTTCAGTTCCCTTGTGCTAGTAATCAGGTACACAAGACCTTATGTACATCGTTTCATGTACAAATTATGTGTGTAGTTTTCCAGCAGACTCCTTTGTATAGTGACTTGGTCAGATGTGCAGGCTTGAAGCAACATAGAAATACTTGCTGCTTCTGTTTCTTACTCTGTCACTCGGTTTCTACTGACTAAAATTGACCCTTGAAGCACCACTGCTAACAGTTTATTTTCATTCAGGCAACTCTGAAGCAGGAATGAATAAACTGATAAGTTGAGGAAAGGTGCTGGTTACCTGAATGCATGCTGATGGAAAGCTACAGAAGCTGCTTAACTTGAAAGCAAAAGGGGCTCAGGGAAACATCTGGTTCACATTTAGCTGAATATCCTTGGAATTATTTAGGCAGGGAATGGTTCAGCCTCTGATACAGCAAAAGCTGAGGGCATAACACCAGGGCCTTGAAGAATGCAACAGCAGCACTAAGGGTTGCCAAGGACCTACAGCCAGCAATCCCATATTATGGGGTTACGGGTTGGAGCTCCTTCAATATTAGGCTGAAGCCGTGCCAAATCTGGGAGGCCTGAGGAAATCTTCAAGAACAGACCCCTCAAATGTTAAGCAGAAATATTTTGTGATGTCAGTGGAACAAGGCTATTCACAGGATAAAGTGATGGAAGGAAGAATGAGAAAGGGATCCTAGGTATCATGATATACACAGAGTCTCACCCAGTTTGCCAGTGCATTGGCCTCATGCAAAATTCCAGCAGGAGCTATTGTGAAGGTAACAAACTGTGATTAAAGTAACAAACTGAATGCAAGCATTTTGTTGTGTGAGGAGGAACAGCAGACGGCACTTACTCTCTCAAGTCCAGGTGGATAAGTAGTATCCAGCTGATCAGGTCACTTTGATACCTCAGGCAGAAGACCTCACAAACAGCACACCCCCATTTGTATAGATATGATAACAATAAATTACATAATTAACCATTAAACAACTAACCAAATTTTCTGCCTAAGGCAGCTGCCTCACTCTGTTTAGTGGTAGAACTGGCCATGGCTGGAAACAATCACTCTTGAATTCTATCATGGATTATTTTTGGAGGGGGGGAAGCCAAAAGCATCCCATGCAGCACCTCCTCATCACATTGCTAGACATTCATTTCCTGATCACACAGAAAAGGTTGCACATCGTGTTGCTGAGCCTCAAAAAGATCTGGGACACAGATAACAGGGGGATCTTCTCCAGGTTTCAAGTTTTGCACCTCAAATCCCAGGAGTTAGGATGCTTCCAGCCTAGCAATGCTAGATAGTGGAGTTCATTCTCATGACCTCAGGAGATGGCATTTAAACATGATCAGAAACAACCTTGTCTTTCTCATACTTGGTATGTTCTACAGCTCTTGCTGCTACCAGCATTCACGTATTGGACTTTAAATTCACGTCTAACTCTCAGTGTCATGTCTCTCTCTCAGTGGGTTACTGCTGGTGCTGCTTGCAGATCATTAGTACCCCCCCAGATGTTCAGGACAAGACCCTGGAACTAGGGCCAGAATGGATGTTCAGATCTGGAAGGAGGTTCAGCTTAAGGAGATCCACCTGGAAAGGGGCAGAGAAGCTAATTTATATTAAGGAGGCCCTGGAGAAGACAGGGAGGGAAGTCATCATGGAGGCAGTGGAATGAAGCAGCCAGATCACGGGAGGTGAGTTGAGTCCTCAGACAGGGGAGGAAGGGGCTTGTGGAAGAGGCCTAGAGTGCCAAGGAGGTCCTGAAGCCCAAGGGCAACTAAGAGTATGTTTACCAGGAGAATCCCTGGGCCAGGTTCCTTGTGAAGCTCAAGGGACCCAGTCTGGCCAACATTTCAGCTTCTGCTGCTGACACCATCCCTGCCAAGCCACAGTGAACCAAGAAGGCCCCACTCTAACTTCTGGCATGGACAAGGCTTTCAAAACTGAAAAAATCGAAATTCAAAAATTAAAAGTTCCTTTAAAACTTGTTGATAGAAGAAATCAACCTGTGAGTTGACATAAATGTCCTTAAAAGTTTTTAAGAATCCAGTTGTAATGTAGAACAATTATTCAGTCATTCAGCTGTATAAAATCTTGATTGAAGTTCTCATTGCTCCAATCTATCACAGTCCATTTTATCTCCTTAGAGCAGCGGTCCGCAACCTTGGGCCTTCAGTTGTTCTTAAACTACAACTCCCAGAAGCCTTCACCACCACCTCTGCTGGCCAGGATTTCTAGGAGCTGAAGTCCAAAAACATCTGGAGGCCCAATGTTGGGGACCACTGCCTTAGAGAAACTCATAATACTCAGGAGTTTCATTTTAAAGCTGATTATGAGAAGCACCTGTTGATTGTGAATTAGAGTCTTCTTGTTGCTGGAAATGTGTGAAGGATGATGTTCTACAAGCTGCGTAGTAATATTTCACATTGTTGTTGCAAATATATTCCATAGTTTTCTGTATGTGTTTTTGCAGGCACATGCACAAATGTTATGCCCATTTGTTCAGAGTTAGGGGCAGAGTATGGAACCCACTACAATCCATTGCCAAGATTCTATCACAAGACCAGTCCTCGTCATCAATAGCAGAGCTTTACACCAGTTGCAGAGCTAGCCCAAGAAATTTGTCTCCCGTGGATTTCAATGATCCTGGTATTAATGCTGAGTATACACTTGTTCCTATAGCCTGAAATAGACTGTCGAAGGGCAGTCTAGAAATAATGCCCTCTCCTGACTGACTGCCTTTTGTATGTCTGGTTGGTTTAACAACCAGAGCATGAGCAAATATGTAGAGGGTAGCTCTGATTGCTCTTGTACTCAGCATATTTCCAGCAGGATTCTAGCCATTGATTTCATTGGAGACAGATCTGTCAGCTAAATGAGGATGGGACTTCAACCTCCATGATTTACAATGCCTGTGAACATAGGTGGCAATTCCTAGCATTGGCTAACATGCTCATTACATCTGAGGTAGCTATTAATGTGACGTTGCACTTACATAATCAAAGATGTCTATTTATTTTTACAGACAAATAATATATAAATATTTATGCATGTAACCTTCATGATAGCCAAAACTTACTCAGCCCAGACTGTTCATGAAAACTGTGGAGGTTCATACTCCATGAAAAGGCATCTGTACTGTAAACGTCTTTGATTTGATACAGTGTACAGTATTATACAAAATACTGTGTTGATTTGTTCATCAAGAAAATGTACGTAACTCTCTAGCAATCTGTCCAAGCTTTATTTTGTGCAAAGCAACATTCACTTCAACAGATCATAACTTATCCTGGCAACTGGACAACTCAAAGCAGTGTGACGCATATAGCAGCAGTCTTTTTTACAGACTTTGACTGGAAACGCTCCTAGTCATTTTACACTGAAATGTTTTTAAACAAGTCATTGAAAATAACAATGGGGCTAACCAAGCTAAGAGAGAGAGGTAAATGTCATCTATATCAAACTGAATGCCAGATGTGGAAATTTGGATTTTTTCCCCCCCCCTGTTCATCAGTCTCAACATAGCCCTTCCTGGGAAACCAGGCCATTGACTGAAGCCATGGTTGTTCTGTCTGTCTTGGGTGTTTGGGGAATGACCCCAAGGGGATAAGTGGGAATTTGTCTACTCCTAGCAAATGATGGATATAAAAGCTGCTTTGCCACAGAAGGCAGAACCTGGCATATGCCTGGAACACAGCAGACTTTTTTGTGGTTTAGTTGTTTTATATTGTTTTAAGCTGGTTTTTCAGTTCTTCATTAGGAAGGAAGGCAGGCAGGCAGGCAGGCAGGCAGACACTTTGGACAGTTCAGGGTTGCTGGGTGTCTTTTTTTCTTACAATTTGGCCATTTTTCAGACTGAGACCAGTGTTAGGTGTAAATCACAGAGGAACCTGTTCCAACTTAAATATTATTTTTGAACGAGTTCTTCAAATATTCCATAATGTATCAGCTGTTCCCATGGAGAGCAGCATAAAACTTCTGCTGAAAAACAATATATTTATTTATTACATCTCCCAAACTTGTACTTATGAAAGCATACAGCAATACTGGGAAAGGGATTAACTCCCCACCCCCTTTTACATATATGGCATCTTGTTTGGATGAAGCAGTAATTGCTAAACCAGAACACTCTTTCAGTGCTTTATCCCACTGACACTGAATATGGGGCCATATCTCTTGCAGAGTTTTAGACTATATTTTAGAAATCAGTGCTGTTAATTTTTTTTCCAAGTCAATACTGTACATATAATTCACTAGTGAATACAGGCAATGGATCTCCTTGCTTCTTATTTAATGCTAGGTAGTGGTTATACGGATACTCACTTGTCAGGAATTCCTTGGTCAAGTATCACTCATTTGCTGGTTTTGTGTAAACTCTAAGCATGAAGCCCCATCTATAATAATGATTTTTAATCATGATTAATGTTCAATTGTTTAATGTAGTTTTGTACATTATTTTAAACTAATTATCATTGCACAGCTTTAATTGTTGTGAGTCGCCTTGGGTCACCTGTGGGAAAAAGGCCAGTATATGCTGTAAATATTATAAAAATATAAAATAAAAATAATAATGTTGTTTCAAAATAATAATGCTGTAAATTGTTGTAAAATTGTTATTATATATCAATTGGTTTATACTTTGCTTGTTGTGAGCTGCCCAGAGTAGACAATGTCTAGATG